AGCCCAACTGAGAGGCGGGAAAAAGTTAATTAGAAAAACACAGTAGGAATTGTTTTCAGCATAGTACAACGCCCAAAACATTTTTTGGTGATTCAATACCATGGCAAAATAAGGTAGCCAAGGTAATACAAAACAAAAACATAGCACATTTTAAACCTCTGTTTGCCCCGAATATACATTAGACACAATCTTCTGAATACTGAATATTATTGTGAGACTGTGCTCTTTGGGGCTATGAGTTGCAGTACATGAATCTGACCAGCAGGGTATTTGCTCTTGGTGGTTGCATGCTGTATTTACATGGAACACTACATAGAGGTTCCACAGGTGCCACCTCTTCCAGCAGTATACCGACTTACTTGGCTACCTAGAAAACCATACACATACCAATTATACATGTACAGCATATCAGAAAGGTTCAACCCTCTTCTACATTACAACCAGATTATCAAGTTAGGAATAAATCCATCTGATACAAAGTGGTTTAGTTTAGATTTTAATTAAACTGTTCTCTTCTTTTAAGTTGTCTTCCTATAGTTCCTAGATGTGACTTAATCAGGTAATGACATTTAATAGGAAATATATAAGAGGCTTTGAATTTCATCTCCCTTGTGCCGAAGCTAAGTAAGTAATAATGTTTGTTTCTAAGTAATAAAGTAGAGGCATGAGTTGGCCGCTGTATGAAAGTTCCAGATTTCTTTCTTACACAGCTACTTTTTGTAGTATTTAAGCCCTTTCATTTTTCTCATGAGCCTGTTTTGGAATATCAATAACTCGACACAATACACACGCATTCAAATCTCATTTCCTAATGGGATTATCCTGAGCCACAAAAGAGTTTGTCTACAGAGGGGGAGAGCAAAAAAGGATTACATTTCCAAAATCTTGTACCGCTGCCTAAATTCTGTCCATAAAGGTTTATAAAGCGCAACTTTATGGGAAAAAGAAAACAGTACTCAGCATTGTGTATTATGTTCTGCAAGAGAAACAGCTCTGTGTCTGCATTTGCCTATAGTTGGTAGAGAAAAGCACCCTCTTAACTTCACATGGCATAGACAATAACTTGCTCTCCTCTTCAGCCTTCAGCAAGTTTAACCCCAGTTCCTCTAACTAGCTAAGAAAGTGAGGAAGAGAATAGATTTTATCTGGTAAAGAAGACCAATATTTTCTTTCAAGTTCTTACAAGATAAGTACTCTTTAACATTAAATGAATTATTTAATAGCAAACTGTAACGTGTGAGGATGTGTCATAACAATCCTTCAATGACAACTCAGTTTGATGGTGTTAACGTACCCATGGACATCAGTCTGCATTTGGATGTAGGGAAACGACAAGAGTGCCAAGTTACATCTTCATTGCCTAACAGGGATGAAGACAATGTATAGCCTTTTCTTTCCAGATATGTTTGCCAGTCAAAGCTGGTTCTAAACAAATTGGCACCCTAGACAACATTTTAAATTGGGTACCATATGCTGAATTCCAGTACTAGATGGCAGACACATTTCAAAATAATGAGGGGCCTAAAGTGAATATGTATAACGTTTGGGCTAATATGTGCAAGGTCCATGGCAATGGAAAATGTGTTTCCTTAAAGCAGAACTAAACTGTTAACAAAGGAATCCTTAGTTTTGTAGAATACTTTCAGTGAAACAGAATTGCATTTTTATCCCCTCTGTGTTGTCCTTTAACTAGGTCTCAATACCTGCGAGGCAGGACAGGCTTTTTAATTATGTGATCACTGTAACTAATTGTCACAGTACTGACATGATCAGGAGCCCATCCTGCCATTTCCTGATCATGAACAGAGGTCAAGAGCTATCTGCAACAGCTCAATCCCTGTGCTGGAAGCAAGCATTAAATGCACTCTCAGCACAGAAACCTCAGCCACCATGGACACATATGTACAACATGTGAATGTTAAAGTGGAGTTCCACCCAAAAGGGGAAGTTTTGCTTTAATGCATTGTCCCCTGCTCCCCATTAAGGATTGGCACCTTTGGGGAGCTGGTACCTAAACTTGACAGGTACCTACTCCCACCTCTGCTGCGATCGCCTAGGCAATCCGAAGCGAGTGTTGTCCCCCCCCTCCTCATAGTCTTCTGGAATACATAACAAGTCCCAGAAGACGACGGGGCCATTCACAAAGAGCAGCACTTCTTGCACATGCGCAGTAGGCACCCAGCTGTGAAGCCGCAATCTATCAGTTTTTGTAGCTGCTGACTTTAAAAAAATTTTTCAGCTGGAGCACTGCTTTAACCACTTTATAAATGTCCTCTCACTTCCCTGCCTGTTCAAGCTCCCTGGGAGCGGTCCGATTGCTGTAGGGGACTTCTGTGTGAGGTCCTGATCATGTGATCACTGATTTGCCAATCAGTGATAACATGAATAGTAGTAAGAAAGATGTCACTCCCTGACATCATTGCTTACTACTTGTGAAATCTGTGAATGATCACAGAGGTCACATGGTACAAGGCTATTCACAACAGCCTTGTACCATGTGACAAGCTGTGACCAATCCCAGCTCTCACAGCCTTTATGGGTGTAAAAGCAATCAGTGTAAAAAAAAAAAAAAATCTTCAACACCCCCCACAAGTAGTACAGTGTCACTATGGTGACGCTGTACTGCTAGGGTGACAGCATGTTAAAAAAAAAACATTAATAATATAAAAAAAAATAAAAATGTAAAAAATTTTTAAAAATTATAATTTTTGGTTATAAATTCATTTGGGTTATTTTTGTTTTTTACTAAAAAGATAACTGAATACATTTTGGGCAATATTTACGAAGAAAGTTTATTTATTTGCAAAACTTTATAAGAAAAAACACTTTTTTTTCAAAATGTTTGGACTTTTTCATTTATATAGCAAAAAAATTAAAATCCCAGTCGTGAATAAATACCACCAAAATAAAGTTTTATCTGTCTCCAAAAAATTTTAAAAAATTCATATGGGTACAGTGTTTCATTCAAAGTGTGATAACACTGAAAGCTGAAAATTGGCCTGGACAGGAAGGGGAAAGTGTCCGGACTTGAAGTGGTTAAAGCGGAGCTCCACCCAAAAGGGGAAGTTACGCTTTGAGGACTGCTCCCATGCTCCCCATTAAGGACTGGCACCTTTGGGGAGCGGGTACCCGAATTTGACAGGTACCCGCTCCCACTTCCGGTCCGATCGCCTAGGCGATCAGAAGCGGAAGGTGTCCTCCCTCCCTGTAGTCTTTTGGGACACGTGACAGGTCCCAGAAGACTACAGGACCATTCAGGAAGCACAGCGCTACTCACGCATGCGCAGTGGGTACCCGGCTGTGAAGCCACAAGCTATCACAGCCAGGTGCCCACACTGAAGATGCCAGGCTCCTGAAATACAGGATGGCCAGTGAAACGAGCTGCGGGGAACACACCACGGGGACAGGTAAGTGGCTGTTTTTTAAAAGTCAGCAGTTTCTGTAGCTATTTTTTGATAGGTCGAGTGGAAGTCCGCTTTAAGGCTCACCCTTCCTTCCATGGAAAATATGCATTATGCAATCAGCAAGTTAATGCATTTTTTACCTTATTTTGTTCTTGTGTTCTCTCATTGTACTGTGCACAAGCTGGAGATCTCTGTAGGAATCTAACATTGTGCATTGACATGGCTGCTTGTAGTCTAATTCAGTGCACAATGAAAAGAACCCAGGAGTGCTCGTGCTCTGAGATCCCAGGAGTGCTCGTGCTCTGTGATCCCAGGAGTGTTCGTGCTCTGTGATCCCAGGAGTGCTCGTACTCTGTGATCTCAGGAGTGCTCGTGCTCTGTGATCCCAGGAGTGTTCGTGCTCTGTGATCCCAGGAGTGCTCGTGATCTGAGATCCCAGGAGTGTTCGTGCTCTGTGATCCCAGGAGTGCTCGTGCTCTGTGATCCCAGGAGTGCTCGTGCTCTGTGATCCCAGGAGTGCTCGTGCTCTGTGATCCCAAGAGTGCTCGTGCTCTGTGATCCCAGGAGTGCTCGTGCTCTGTGATCCCAGGAGTGCTCGTGCTCTGTGATCCCAGGAGTGCTCGTGCTCTGTGATCCCAGGAGTGCTCAGCTCTGAGCACTTCCAGGTTTAGAAATGTCAGATTGAGCACAGTTACTGCTCGGCCAGCTAAGAGAGAGTGTGGGGTGATATCAGAGGTTTAATAATCTCCTAAAGTTTCCTTTGAGAGAACCACCTGTACTATGCTATTATATAGAGGGCTTGTCTGCTTCCTTGTAATAGCAATAAAGTAAAAAAAAAAAAGTTCTAAAAGGTTTTTTGAAATTTTTTTAAAAAGTGACATTTCATAAAAAAAGGTAGAAACACCCCCAAAATGTTTTACTAATGCCCCTTCCCTATGCATATTAGGTATTGCTGTGTATACCAGAGTGAGAGTCAGCAGTGAGCTACATTCCCACAGAGAGCCAGGGTCCTACTTTGCAGCATGCTTTCAAGGGACAGGCTTTTTGGCTGTGGCTGCTGTCTAAAGAAACAATCCGATTTTGTACACTTCTTGTTTGATACACCTGTAATGTATTTAGCAGATTTAAACTGATTGGGCTTTGGGCTTTAACGTCAAATATTGACATTTGAATTTGATCTACTTTTTGGCAGCATAACTACTCTCTCAAACCAGAATAAAAACACCTCCCAAATCAGAGGAAAAAGCTAAAACAGTAATATAATGGATGAGGGAAAAAAGTGGGCTAACTACACTCCAATACACTCTGGACTCTCTACCACACAACCAAAATACATTGAATATAACAAAGCGCGCACTTCATTATACTTGGCACCAGGGGCGGACTGACAACTCATGGGGCCCCTGGGCAATAGGGGATCATTGGGCCCCTGTGTCCTTGCCCAAACTCAAAAAAGCCTATAAAAAAGGTACCAGGGGCATCTCATGGGGCCCCCTACTGACCCTGGGCCCTTGGGCAGTGCTTGAGTTTCCAAATGGTCAGTCCGTCCCTGCTTGGCACATTGCAGAATACAGACTAAATACTACCATCTCACAGTACCAATTACTATAATACCCTAAGCACTCCCTCCTATGTACTCCAAATACAAATGCACTTAGATTACCACACCATGCATCTTGTTATACTAAGCACACTACAGCATACAACCCAAATACAATAACACACAGCACTATTCACTACAATAATCTGAGCATACCCCAAAATACTGGCCATACCACATCATGCACCTTGTTATACTTAACATACTACAAAATAAATCCCAAATACAATCAGCGCAGCACTATTCACTACTATGGTCACGGAAACCAACGTGGCTTGGGCTCCTGAAGGGGTCTGGGGGCCAGCCTCCTTACCACCAACAATGGACCCAGGACTAAGGAGACCTCCCTCTTGGGGTTACAACAAACCTTTTCCCCAAGTGCATTATGTCACTTCCCTGGGTACCTGGCTGAATTCTACCTTTTCCATGCAATTAGGGCTGGAGGGACTGTTTCTGGGACCCCTTGGCTTACTGTGCATTGTGCAGTAGGTGAATTCCAGCATATGTGGGGTTAAAAAACTTTCTGTTACAGGTTTCCTGGCATCAACTATTGTTTGCTATAATTAGGTTTAGTTAAGCTCTCACTTTGTTTATTCACCTCCAGAGACCAGCCTGCTAGGTGCCGGGAAGGAATTCATTGTTTTCTTGTGTTTGATTGTTTGTGTCATGCAGTTTTCTCCTGGGACTTGTAATGTGGGCCATACCTGTCTAGGGGGAAAGTTTTTGTGTATAAATGCTGTGCTTTTTAATAAAATCAGTCCATGCTTTACTTCAACATTGGTTCTGTCTTATACTTGCGGTAAATTTATTATATTCTGGTTCCAGAGTGGTGGAAGCAGTCGGGTGTCTGACAGTCCATAACCATAATAATATACTCAACAATCCACATAATTCATCCAAAATACACTTGACATTCCACAATATACACCTCATTATACTCAGAATGCTACAGTATACACCCCAAATAAAATTGACACACAGCATTATTTACTATGATACACTCAACAATCCCTACTGTTCACCCCAAATACACTTGGCATACCACACCATACAACTCCTTATACTCAGCACGCTAGACCCCAAATACAATCCACACACAAAACATCTCATCACAATACAGTCCCCACTGAAGAGGGCAAAATCTAGTGCAGCTGTGCATTATAGCCAATCAGCTTCTAATTTCAGCTTGCTCAAATAAGCTTTGACAAAAAACCTAGAAACTGATTGGATTTTATGCAGAGCTGCACTAGATTTTGCACTCTCCAGTTTTAATCATTAAACCACACTCTGTAACAATCATCCCCTAGAAACATGCACCCAAAATACATGAGTACACCTAGTGTATCTATTTGTATTACACAGACAAAATATTTTGCTCTCTATTGTTTGAGATAATATTTGGATAGAATGTATACTGTATTTGCGAGTTTACTTGCTGCCTAAAGTGTATGTAAACCCAAAATTGAAAAGTAAAGAAAAATTTAAAAAAAGTCAGTGTGCCCTCTATTAAATAGGCCAAAGCTATCTCTTTCGTGCTTGAGAATGCCATGGCCTAGAATTGTACCTTGTGATTTTGCTAGTAAGAGCCTTCTGAAGGCCTTGTTGCCATTAATCAGGGGTATTGAATTAAAATTCAAGGAGATCCAGTCACTAAAATTTTCTTCTGGCCGAGGTCCGAATCTCATGTTTGTGCTATGACTCAGAGGGTAGTAACTGTATTTCTATAAAAAAAATTAGAAATGTACAAATTCCATAGCAAGGAAGGAAGGGGTGGATAGAAGGGGAAGGGTGGCTGGATGAAGGGGTGGATAAAAGGAAGGGAGGGGGGGTGGGTGGAAGGAAGGAAGGGTGGAAGGAAGGGGTGGAAGAAAGGAAGGAGTGGGTGGAACGAAGGAAGGGGTGGGTGGAAGGAAGGAAGGAAGGAAGGGCGGGGGTGGGAGGAAGGGGTGGAAGGAAATAAGGCAGGGGTGGAAGGAAGGGAGGGGTGGGTTGAAGGAAGGAGTGGATGGAAGGAAGGGGTGGGAGAGGAAGGGAGGGGTGGAAGGAAGGGTTGGGTGGAAGGAAGGAAAGAAGGAAGGGAGGGGTGGGTGGAAGGATGGAAGGGGTGGAAGGAAGGTGTAGATGGAAGGAAGGGGTGGGTGGGAAGAAAGGGAGGGGTGGGCGGAAGGGGGGGGGTGGGTGGAAGGGAAGGAAGGGGTGGGTGGGTGGAAGGGAGGGGGGAGAGTTTGGGTGGAAGGAAAGAAGGAAGGGAGGGGTGAGTGGAAGAAAGGAAGGGAGGGAGGGGGGGGTGGAAGGAAGGGGTGGAAGGAAAGAAGGGAGGGGTGGGTGGATGGAAGGAAGGGAGGGAGACTCTCCCCGGGGGGGTCAGACCCCCCCTGACTTCCCCTTTATCTACGCCCCTGCTGCAATGGCAGGGCGCACACTGTGATGTCATGTTGCTGTGACGACCGCCCTGCTCAGCAGCGGATTTGTCATTGCGGGCTAGCGGTCTGGAAGGGGGCGCTGCTGGGGCCGTTTTCAGACCGCGGTCCACCATTTAGTGACCGCTGCCATAAAGAGACAATGTTCACTCTATATAACAGTAGCATTATCATCCTAACCGAAATGCTCCTGATCTAATGCACAGTGTACTTGTACATCATTGAGACCCACCCACATTAGATAACAACTCCTATAGACTTGCCCACTGCCCATATGAGTGGCAATACGTCCTGCAGATGGGACTACCTGCCTATATCACTAAACAGATGTGCAGCTGCATGTAGGATGCAGGAGCAGTAACCAATTGCAGCTGCAAAGACATGCACTGTGCATGAATTGAAATCTGAAAAAAGTTAAATTGCTAACTGATTACAAAAACAACAGTGATCCACTTTGATTCACAGTATATTACACTGTAGTGCTTACCCCAGAGGGGTTGCAGGACGTGACCCAGGTTTCCCTTACTTATTCAGAGGCTGCCAGGCCCAAACCCCAATTCCAAGCACATGGACACACACAGGCTCAGTTCAGGGAATATCTTTTAATAGATTTATTCCTGTGCTTCAAATAGGAGAGAGAGATGAGGGCGCAGGATACCCCAAAATGCAAGACAGATTCAGGAGGACATATTACTGAGCAAAAATCCTTTAACAGCAGTCTTTGCTGGAGGTAGAGGAGATAACCACTTAATCTGAGACTCTATATATGTAGCCCCAGTCCATGCAGCAATCTCTGGCATTCACTCACCCAAATCACAAGTACACTGGGGATCCTAGATCAGCTCCTACTCACAGTGTCCAAGGATAGCTGTCTGTCACCCAGCCTCCATGCAACACTCTCCAGTGAGGATGAAAAGGTTCTTTCTCTAGGCCAGCCTCCACAGGTCATACCCTCCAACAACATCCTTTAGGCAAACTTGCTTCTGGGCCTCAGCCAAGCACAGGTCGAGGCCCAATAGCAACTCTTCTAAATAATACACACTGGCTGCTTCCAAGGGGCAGCAGCCCCAGGAGTTTGGCCTTGCTGAACAAGCCTCCGAAAACATTTATCTTCTCCCCAGACACCTGCTGGCCCCCCCCCCCCCCCCCCCCTAAGGATTGGCTGAGATCAGATAAATATTTATAGCTTCAGTGACTGACCCTCCTACTCTATTGCTGGATGCCTCTTCCAGAGGCAGGCAGGAGAAGTCAAGTACCAAGCTTAGGGAAACCTGGCCAGACCTAGAAAATAGATTGTTTCTCCACTAAGTACAGCATAGCCAAAAACTAAATTTAAAAAATATATGTAAGTGAGGGCTTCTGAAAAAAAGCTGCTAGCACCAAAAAAGTGACACACCAACCTTGTAAAATAGTAAAGAAAAAAGAATAGTGCAGCGCTAAATCATAAAATTACCTTATACATGAAAAATCATCAATACATGATATACAGTATCTCACAAAAGTGAGTACACCCCTCACATTTTTGTAAATATTTTATTATATCTTTTCATGTGATAACACTGAAGAAATGACACTTTGCTACAATGTAAAGTAGTGAGTGTACAGCTTGTATAACAGTAAATTTGCTGTCCCCTCAAAATAACTCAACACACAGCCATTAATGTCTAAACCACTGGCAGCAAAAGTAAGTACAACCTTAATTGAAAATGTCCAAATTGGGCCCAAAGTGACAATATTTTGTGTTGTCACCATTATTTTCCAGCACTGTATTAACCCTCTTGGGCATGGAGTTCATCAGAGCTTCACAGGTTGCCACTGGAGTCCTCTTCCACTCCTCCATGACGACATCACAGAGCTGGTGGACGTTAGAGACCTTGCGCTCCTCCACCTTCCATTTGAGGATGCCCCACAGATGCTCAATAGGGTTTAGGTCTGGAGACATGCGTGGCCAGTCCATCACCTTTACCCTCAGCTTGTTTAGCAAGACAGTGGTCGTCTTGGAGGTGTGTTTGGAGTCGTTATCATGTTGGAATACTGCCCTGCAGCCCAGTCTCCGAAGGAAGGGATCATGATCTGCATCAGTATGTCATAGTACATGTTGTTATTCATGGTTCCCTTAATGAACTGTAGCTCCCCAGTGTCGGCAGCACTCATGCAGCCTCAGTCCATGACACTCCCACCACCATGCTTGACTATAGGCAAGACACACTTGTCTTTGTACTCCACACCTGGTTGCCACTACACACGCTTGACACCATCTGCACCAAATACGTTTATCTTGGTCTCATCAGACCACAGGACATGGTTCTAGTAATCCATGTCCTTAGTCTGCTTGTCTTCGGCAAACTGTTTGCGGGCTTTCTTGTGCATCATTTTTAGAAGAGGCTTCCTTCTGGGATGACAGCCATGTAGACCAATTTGATGCAGTGTACGGCGTATGGTCTGAGCACTGACAGGCTGACCCCCCACCCCCCTTAAAACCTCCACAGCAATGCTGGCAGCACTCATACGTCTATTTCCCAAAGAAAACCTCTAGATATTACACTGAGCACGTGCACTCAACTTCTTTGGCGAGGCCTGTTCTGAATGGAACCTGTCCTGTTAAACCAC